ACACAAAACCCTCTTCTTAAATTGTCCTCTATTGTTCATGGTATGGATGCCAATGGGAAGACATTTATCAAGTCTTGGGAAATCAAAGAAAACTCACTGAAGGAAGCAACAGCTCATTAGAAGATAAATTAAAAGCATCCAGTGGTGTTAATACACCATCCCTTTAGTTATCATTTTGAAATTATTATTTCATAAAATAAGGTTTCATGTTAGCCTGGACAAAAAAAAAAACCTTTATAAAAAAAAAAAAAAAAAAAAAAAAAAAAAATTCTCGTAGGACAAGATTGGAGATTAAAAAACGGTGGGAACTGTTTTTTAATAAGGCTGGCACCCACTCAACGCTGTGTTTGAGCAGAGACCAGAACCTCCCACAGCAGCGGAGCAGAACAGCACTCAATGGACCGTAGCCCGCAGGCGCTGGCCCTGAGGTTCCCAGAGCTCTCCTCCTACCAACTTCTTTCTAGGCTCCCCAGAAAATTTACGCCAATTTCTCTGCTCAAAACCTTTCCGTGACTTCTGTCTTTCGGGAAAAACATTCTCGCCATACTCTGCTTTTCTTTTGTTTTGGGGATCACTCTGTAGCGCTGACTGGTATGGCACAGCACTGTCTATATGTAGACTAGGCTGGCCTTGAATTATTTACAGAGATCAGCCTGCCTCCCAAGGGCTTGGATTAAAGGCGTGTACCACCGAGAAAGTCTCCAGTCTGCTTTCTTTCCTTTTGTTTTCTTTTATTTTGGCACATCAGTAACCGGCCCTCCCTGGCAATGTTGAGCTTGTTTTCCAGTGTGGAAAGACAGGAAAGACCGGTCAAGGTAGGGAGGAGTCCAGAGGCTGACTTGGCTAAAGCAAAATCTCATGTTTTAAATGCAATCTGGGAAGACCAGTGGAGACCGTGACATCTGAAAAGAGCCCTGACTGCTGTGAGGGAGAAAACAGAGTGGGTGACAGGAAAGATCTTGGGGGGGGGGAGCTCTGAAGAGCTGTGAGTTTGAAAAACAGCAAGGAAGAGCCCGCAGAATGGCTCAGTGGATAAAGGGCTTGCTGTTAATCCCAGGATCACAAGCTGCTCAGTTCTCTCTTGCACCACACGTATGTGCATGTGCATGCTTGCACTCTCTCTCTCTCTCTCTCTCTCTCTCTCTCTCTCTCTCTCACACACACACACACACACACACACACACACAATAAATGATCTCTCTCACACACACACATACAATAAACTGATCTCTCTCTCTCTCTCTCTCTCTCTTACACACACACACACACACACACACACACACACACACACACTGCAATAAACTGTTTAAAGGAAAAAGGCAAGCAGCAAGGAAAGCCAGTGTACTAGGAGTTTTCACTGAGAAGGCAGGATTTTGGAGGACATTAACCAAGACTGTATGCATTTTCCTTGGAGTGAGACACCATATGCTGACATTTTCAAAGGGATCATTGAGAGGCTGGGGGTATAGATCTGAACTGACTTGATTAACAATTGGTAATGATGACTCAAGCCGTTGGAAGAGTGGAAAGCAGAGGTTAGTTAAAAGGCGTGGGCTTCTCAATGAGGTGGTGGTCAGCACTGTGTAGTCCCTGCTTCCTACTTGCTTTTGCAGCTTGTCTGGCAACGGATGGGAAAGGTTTCAAAAGAGAATTGCACCAAGAGTTAGCTGGTGATAGGGAAGTCGTGCTGCCAGCTATCTTTATGTTTCTAAGATAGTTTTTTTTTTTTTTTTTTTTTTTTTTTTTTTTTTTTTTTTAACACAGTCAGGTTGACTTGGTCACATCAAAAACACTAAGTACAAGATTCCTTTCAGTTTCCTCCTCAGGGCTGTTGGTTCTGCTCACCCTCTGAGCTAAAGCTAAAACCTGGAAGTCAGAAAAGTGAGCAAAGTTAGCATGCATTTTCTGCCATGGATACACAGAGGAACCCTGTCTTGAGAAACAAAATGACAACAACAACAACAAAAATACTTTTTTTACCTGTTGCTCCAAACACTGCAATTATTTTCCTGTTGGCCATGTTCCCAGGCAATGAAAGAGGTGATGGAGGGGAGCAGAGCTGGCCAGCAGAGACAAACTGGGAAGTGCCGTTTCTCTCCTGGCATGATACTTATAAGCAGGTAGGAGCACCACACCCCTGTATAGTGTCCCTCCCTTGTGAAGCTTTCTTGTTTCCACTAACTCCTTTCTCGCTCTGACTCATGCAGAGCAAGGCTGGCAGTGGGCATTTTTGTACCCCTTACCCTAAAAGAGATCTACACACACACAATAGAATAGCCTGTTTGCCCAGCTGGTACCTGAAGGAGTGCAAATACATTATCCAGACCCACATGTCAGAAAATGACTGAATCTAGATGCCCAGGGAGGCCATAACCAGGCAGACGAGCAAGGGCTATAGTAACTGAGATACAGACATCAGTAATTTCAGGAGTGTAACACCACCTGCTGAGGGTGGACTCAGTTGCTCTCAAAGAGGTATGTGCTTTGAGGGCAGTTTCTTTAAGATGGGCAACGCGTTGCCTTTTTTTTTTTTTTTTTTTTTTTTTTTTTTTTTATCCTTTGAATAAAGCTCAACCTAGACTTGGTTCTGTCCCTGAGTTGATGTCACTGGTAACAGGCAGCATCTTTACTGCTATGCTACTCTGCTCAATTGCTATTGCTTCTCACAAGCAATACACTGAATTACAAGTCCTAGTGGTCTGGGTCTAGTGAAGGGGTACTCTATAAATAAATGAACTTACAAGGGCTGGAGAGCTGGCTCAGCCAGTAAGAGCTCCACCACCTGGAGACTCTGACTCAAAACAAAACCAATACCAACTAAACCCCTGCAATATAGGGAAAGGCTGAGGGAAACTGAGTCCTGGAGGAGAGGCTCATTTAAAAACGAAATGTATAATTAAGAAGTTCGGGTTAGTAGTTAGTCATCTATAATAATCAAACTTGTAGCCATATTAGGTATGTTTTCAAGGTTAAACAGATATATTTAGATAGATAGATGGTCTTCAGACACTTCAAAGACCTACAGAATATAACATTTAAGATGTTTAATAACCTGAGGCTTTTCATGACAACGTCACATATCTGCCCCTAACAGAACCAATCTACTTCAGAGAAGATGATGGGCATTGAAGAACTTCCATGTGGAGTTAACTTTCTTTGTGACAAAAGCTAGCCATTTTGGCCAGAAACTGCCCTTGCCTCAACTATTGACAGTATACTGTCCAAATTAGACAAGCAGGATACAAACGAAAACAATTGCTGAACTTTGCCAAGACAAGGTAGAACAGTCCTTCAAAATTCCTTGCCTCTCATATGTCTGTCAGATATGCTACACCTGTAGGACAAAGATGGATGCCCCAACATTGCAGAGGAACTTCTGGTGACTGTCAAGGCAGCCAGATGTACCTGTCGTTAGGTAATATTAGATCCTTCTAGGGTCTTTGATGGAGTTAAAGACTAAATAGTTAGACTTATAGTTTTCCTTAGCTATAATAATGAAAAGTTAATTAGGTATACAACTTTACACTCACAAAGACAAGATAGATAATCGACTATTTTCTCTGAATTTGCCAAATACAAATGGACGGGATATTGTAACTGTAATTTTGACTTGATAACTATTTTTGTTGTATATAGTTTTACTATGCTAAAGCTAAAACCTTTCTTCTTAATTAGACAAAAAAAGAGGGAAATTTTGTAGTATAATCCTTTTGTACAGTGTGAGGAGGTGTTGATCTCATTTGTTTTAACAAAGAGCTAAATGGCCAATAGCTAGGCAGGAAGAGACTAAGCGGACTTCTGGAGAGGCAGAGAGTTCTGGGATAAAGAAGGGCAGAGTTGCCAGGAGAAGCAAGATGAGCATGCTGCCACATGGTAGACTGTAGATAAGAAATATAGGTTGATTTGAGTTGTAAGAGCTAATTAAATAACAAGCCTAAGCTACCAGTTAAGAATTTTTAATTAATAATAAGTCTCTGTATGGTTATTTGGGAGCTGGCTGGTGGGACAGAAAATTCTACCTACAGTTTTTTGTTGTGGCTCTGACTCTTTGCCTTGTTTATGCCAGTATTGGTCATTATATGTTCTGACTTGGGGTGACTAAATAGACAAACATGACTGATAAGTTGGCACTGCTTGGGGGATCACTCATGAAACAGCAGTTTTTGGGGGCATGGGATTCAATGGCATTATGTGTCCGGCTCAGAATTCAATGCCTGGGGCGAGTGGGCAGCTTTGAGAAGCCCCAGGTCCCTGTAGAAGCCAGCAGGCATGCCTGGCTCCAGCTAGTCTAGTTCCTCAGGAACTTTCTCAGCCACTGTGATCTTACAGCCTCCCACTGCACCCAAAGGTTAGTTTTGGTAGTCTGTTTTGAATGTATAAATGTGGCCACTGCATGTCTGGTCTCCCTTGAATGTGTAAGCTTACTGTGTTCTTCATGCCTTGGTTATAGTTCAGCTGTTGGTGTTCAGAATATACCTCTGAGCTTTCTGACCATGGGATCTAATGTATTAGGGATTAAAATGGCATCTGGGGATGGATAATTTTAAAGCTGTTTTTATGCTGTTATACTTTATTGAAAAACTGGCTCTTTCCCAAACCCAGGCATGCTTTTAATTCCATGTCTGAGATCAAAAGCTATGACCCTCACACCCCTCCCCCCACCCCCTAAAAAAAGCAAAACAGCTAAAGGGATTGTTGGCTTGTAAGTTTATTGGTTATCATTTAAAATCTTAATGAGTTAACTTAAAACTCATAACACAGGATTGATAGTTAAGTCTGTGCATAGGTGATTTTAAAGGAACCATATGTGGCCTGCTGCCATCTTTAGACAGCCATGTGGCTGGCAGCTATTTTTGCTAAGGTTAGAAAGGGAAGATGTCACATGACTTCACCACCATCTTGATTAAGGGCAACCATGTGGTGAGGGCCAACCAAGGAGACAGCAGGTCTCCAAGATAATTTGGATCGGGATTCACTTTCTATAATTTCTGTCCTGTCTTGAAAACGAGGTTTATGAAGAATATGATTTAGAACAATGCTTGTTTAATGAGGTGTGAAAGTTCCACCTCCATGCTTTCATAGGCACGGGGCTACCTTGCTGACAGCCAAACTTTGTAACGTAAGAGTAACCCAGAAGGTACTGGTTTTAAAGACATGAAAGGGTCATGGCACTTGCCAGAATTTAGAGGGCCTATGTATACTGCCAAAGATGGGGCCAAAGAATGACCCAAGCCCCTTGGAAAAGCCCCCAGAGGAATCTCAGAATTGTTTGCACTATTGGAGCTTGGTTTTGCCTTGTGCAGATTATGGTTGTGCCCAGTGTTTTCACTCTTGAAATTAAAAAGGTACTCTATTTTGATACTACTAGAGCACACAGTTGCAAAATTTTAGTCTTCTTCTTTTTTTCTTTTTTTAAGATTTTATTTATTTATTATGTATACAGTCTTCTACCTGCAGGCCAGCAGAGGGCACAAGATCTCATTCAAGGTGGTTGTGAGCCGCCATGTGGTTCCCGGGAATTGAACTCAGGACCTCTGGAAGAATAGTCAGTGCTCTTAATCGCTGAGCCATCTCTCCGGCCATTTTAGTCTTCTTTAATAGGACATTTTGGATCTTTACCGAAATTTTAAATTTAAAAAATGGGTAATTTTAAGGAACAGCTTTTAAAAGTATTTAAATTTAGCAGGGCAGTGGTGGTGCATGCCTTTAATCCCAGAACTCAGGAAGCAGAGGCCGCTGGATCTGTGAGTTCAAGGCCAGTCTGCTCTACAATGCTACACAGAAAAACCCTGTCTTGAAAAACCAATAAATAAATAAATAAATAAATAAATAAATAAATAAATAATTTAATTTATAAGTCTATGAGACATTTTATAAGATATTTTATTATAATGTCTTTAGTAATATATAATCTTGATAAACATAAATAAAAGGCTAAAAACTACTAAGGCCACAGCTATAAGCACCAAATATTATACACCAGAGACTGGGGTATTCCTCCTTTATGATGCAGTGAGGAGATAATGACCTAAACAGTCTGGCAAAGGTCTATTCAGGCTAACAGAGACTAATATGAGCATGTATGTCTAACCTCCTTGTTTTTGCTAACATCGTTAAACTGTAGCTATTTTAGTAAACTGAGTCATACAATAAACTTTTTTTGTTGTTTTTTTTCGAGACAGGGTTTCTCTGTGACTTTGGAGGCTGTTCTGGAACTCGCTCTAGGCTGGCCTCGAACTCACAGAGATCCACCTGCCTCTGCCTCCCGAGTGCTGGGACTAAAGGGTTACGCCACCAATTCCTAGCTTCATACAATAAACTTTTATATTCTATGATGGTGTAGCACGTAAGGACCAGGAAAATAAAGTTACAAATCTCCCTGTGGACTGTATTCATGAAAAGAACTTCAAGGGCTGGAGAGATAGCTCAGAGGTTAAGAATACTGGCTGCTCTTCTGGAGGTCCTGAGTTCAATTCCTAGCAACCACATGGTGGCTCACAACCATGCCCTCTTCTGGCCTGCAGGCATGCATGGAGGCAAAGTGTTGTATACATAATAAATAAATAAAATCTTAAAAAAATAATGCTGATGCCCCACATTTTAAAAAAAAGAAAGAAAAAAAGAAAGAAAAAAGCTTCAATTCAGAAGCCATTATTTTTATTATAAACCAATAATTAAGGCAGCCAAGCAGTGGTGGCACACACCTTTAATCCCAGCATTCAGAGAGGCAGGGGTAGGTATATCTCTGTGGGTTCAAGGCCAACCTGGTCTATAGAATGAGTTCTAGGACCTCCTGCAAGTTTTCAAGGTATAGCCTAAAGCAAGTAATAAAAGCAAGCAAGGGTCATTTAGATCAAACACACTTAAATAGATAATGGTGTCATAGATCTGCTGAATATGGCATTTAAGATGTTTAAGCTTACTATGACATCCACAGAGACTGACACAGAGACCCCAGCTCCTAGTAGTGACCCCCAAGATCTCCAAGAAGATAATGGACACAATGTCAACTACACCTGG